CTGTATCCTAAATCAGACCACTTTGGGAGTTTGTATGTCTACAGCTAGAGCCTTCCCTGAGAACCTGGGAATAACGTAACACTTAATGCCCCAAGGAAACAGCAGCAGGACCAGCCTGGACATTGGCTGCAGACATAGAATCTAGTCTTAACATAAAGTCCCAAGTCAAGAAGATGGAAGATTAAACAAAAAAGATTCACACAATAACAAGCTGACAAGAACACTTAAGACATAAACTCAGAAGAAAATGCTTCAAAGAAAAACACTGCTTAGGCACAAATCAACTAGAATTCCTGAAACAAACAAAACAAGTGTTATATATTTCTGCATTTCTTTTTTTTATTAATTTATTTTGATTTATCAACAATAATTTCCATAAGCTTTGAGTTTTACATTTTTCTCCCCCTCCCTCCCCACTTCCCTCCTCAAGATGGTGTGCGATCTGATATAGGCTATACGTATACATTCCTTTTAAACACATTTTCACATTAGTCATGTTGTAAGGAAGAATTAGAACCAATAGAGGGAACCACAAAAAAGAAGAAACAAAACAAAACAGAGAAAAAAAGAGCAAATAGTATGCATTCAAACTCTATAGTTCTTTCTTTGGATGTGGATAACATTTACCATAGTGAGACTTTTGGGGATGTCTTAGCTCCTTTGCATTGCTGAGAAGGGTTAAGGCTATTAAAGTTAGTCATTGCACAACGTGGCTGTTACTGTGTACAATGTTCTGCTGTTTCTGCTCACTTCACTCAGCATCAGTCCATACAAGTCTTTCCAGGTTTTTCTGAAGTCTGCCTGAAAACAAGTATTACATAAAAAAGTGTTCAAAATGATTTTTTTATAAATTAAATGAGTGAACTAGAAGGAGAGAAATGGAAAAGAAATGAGAGTGATGAAGAAAGAATTGGAAAGGAAATTAACAGCTTGGCACAAGAGCTATACAATCTTGTCCAAGAAACAAATTCTTTGAAAATTAAAATGGACCAAATAGAAGCTAAGTGACTCCATTAGATCAGAAGAAATATTAAAACAAAGTCAAAAGGCTAAAGAAGGAGGAGGAGAAATAATAATAATATAAGGTATCTCATAGCAAAAACAACTGACCTGGAAAACAGAGGAGAAAATAATTTAAGAATGATTGGATACCTGAAAGCCATGACCCCCCCCCAAAAAAAAAGAAATTTAGAATCCTGTTTCAAGAAATCATAAAAGAAAACTATTAGACTTCCAAGGGCAGAACCAAGATGGTGGAGTAGAGAAAATTGAGCTCCCCCAACGTTCCCTTCCAAACAACTTTAAAATAACATTTCAGATTGAATTTTGGAGTGGTAGAGCCAACAGAAGGTAAAAGTGAGAGATTCTGCCAGCACAAGACAACATAGGAGGTTGGAAAGGGGATGTAGCAACAGGTCAGAAAGAGATTAATAGAGTATTTCTGTGCTACCACTGGATGCAGGACCAGATGCTGTTTGGCAGCTCCATTACCTATACCCACTTATACCCACCTATACCCACTTTTGGGTCATGGTTCAAGGGAGGAGAGGAGTACTTTCAGTCAAGAGGGTGTGAAAGCAGTATCACTTCCAGCCCCAAGGGATCAGGAACCCTGAGGAACAGTATCATTTCTGGTTCCAAGGGATCAGGAGCCCTTTCTGGTTAAGGACCAGGGTACAGACTAGAAGAGCAATGACCATACGTCTCCCCAGGTCACACACCCCCTTGGAAGTACCAAAAAACTTTTAGAATTACCTCTGAAAACAGCAGTAAGAAAAAGCCTGAAGTTTGAGAGACAGAGTCCTGTGTCCTACTCCCCCGTGTGAGAAGAGCCCAACATTAACATGAAGTTCCAAATCAAGACATGGGGTGGAAAAATGAGCAAACAAACAAAAGAATCTGACCGTGAAAAGTTACTGTGACAGGGAAGCTCAAGACACAAATTCAGAAGAAGACAATGAAGTCAAAATAGGCACAAGCAAAGATTCAAAGAAAAAAATGTGAATTGGATACAAGCCCAACAAGAATTCCTGGAAGAGCTAAAAATTTTTTTTCAAAATCAAGTAAGTGGTAGAGGAAAAATTAGGTAAAGAAATGAAAGCAAAGGGGAAAAAAATTATGAAAAGACAATGAAGATCATTGGTAAAAGAGGCATAAAAAACATTGAAGAAAATAACACGTTAAAAAAATAAAGAAAACTGGCCAGATATCTTAGAATGACAAAGAAAAATGGAGGTAGAAAGAATCTACTAGTCACCTTCTGAAAGGAACCCCAAAATAAAAACGCACAGAAACTTGATAGCCAAAATCCTGAGCATCCAGGTCAAAGGAAAAATACAAGCAGCCAGAAGGAAGGAATTCAAGTACTAGGGAGGCAATGTCGGGATCATACATGATTTAGCAGCTTCTTATTATAAAGGAATAAAAACATAGAAGAAAGAATGGGAATGTGATATTTCAGAAGGAATATCTGTCCTCAGAATCTATAAGATGAATATTCTAGAAGGCAAAAGGCCTTACATCCAAGAATAATTTGCCTAGCAAAACTGAGTATAATCCTACCAGAAGGGGTGGGAAGAATGGATCTTCAATGAAATAAAGGACTTTCAAGCATTCTTGATGAAAAGAACTTCATAGAAACTGTGAAGAACAAACACAAGAGTCATAAAAAGATGAACATAAACAATCATAAGGTATTAAACAAGGATAAACTGATTACATTTTTATATATGAGTTGATGCACATATCTCTTCTGAATCCTACCTTGATTTGGGATCATAGAAAGTGTCTAATTAAACAAAAGGCTTGAGAGTGATTCTGTCCTGTTTTGTTGGTATTAAAAGAAGAATGTAAAGGGAGGGAAAGGAGAATACGCTAGGAGAGAAAGGAAGTAGAAGGTTAGGGAAAATTATCTTATATAATTGGTATATACAAGTAGAAGTCTAAATAAACAAGGAGGAAGAGGTAAGAGAAGTGGCTAGTATTTGAACCTTACTCTTATATGCGCTGTGCAAAGGAGGTAAGACTATACACTCACACATACAAACACATACATGCAGAGTTCAGTCAAGAAATATTTTACTTAATAAATAGGATGGAAAGGGGAGAAGGAAGAATGGGGAATTAGGAGGGTAGAATAAAGGAAGGATTAGTCCTAAATAAAACAAATTCTAATGATATACAAAATTATTCATACTTCTTTTCGCAGAGACGAAGATTGGAAATTGAGGGAGTTTGTATTATTTGGAGAATAGTTAAAGAAGTTATGTTATATAAATGTTACTGAATGCTATTATGCCATAAGAAATGATGAAGGGGATGGTTTCAAAAAAACCTGGGAGGATTTGGGTGAAGTGATGCCAAGTGAAATGAGCAGAACTAGAATAATTTTTACAGTGATAACAATGTTGCAAAAACACACAACTTAGAAAGACTTAGGAACTTGAATCAGTGTAATGACTAAACAGAATTCTAGAGGATTAATGATGAAATATGCTACTCCCTGATAGAGAGCTAAAAGACTCAGTACTGATTAAGTTATATTTTCTTGGGGGAAGAGGGAGGGGCATGTGGTAGTATGTTTTGCTTGACTATTCATGTTTTAACAGTGGTTTTATTTTTCTTGCTTTCTCAACTGATGGTCAGAATGGAAGAGAGAGAAGGATTTTTAGAATCAGGAATACTAGGGTTTGAATCCTGTTTCAAATACCAACTAGCCTTATGACTCTGGCAAGTCAGTTAACTTCTCAGCCTCAGTTTCCTCATCTGTAAAATGAAGATAATAATAGTACTTACCTCACAATGTTGTGAGGATCAAATGAGGTTACATATATAAAGTCCATTGCAAACTGTAAAACACCTTAAATGCTAGCCATTATTATTGTGTTGTCCAGTGAGTACATTCTCTTTCCAACAAGAAAACCTTCTTGTCCAGTTAATTGAGGTTTCCCAGGAAGTCAAGGACTGTGTCTTTTGTTTACGTTGATATCTCTTGTGATACCTAGCACGGTGCTGAGCACATAGGTACCTAATACTTATTGATTATATAATTGATATATACAAGTAGAAGTCTATATAAACAAGGTGGTAATTTTATCAAATTCAGTAAAACAAGGCTGTATGTGAGAAAGTGGTGGTGGTTCATTTAAAGTATGGTGGTTCAAGCTTGTCCTTTGTGACTATTGATGATCCTTTCTTGGTATTGTACCATCCTTTGTTTTTTTTTTTTAATAAAATAAAAACATGCATTTATATCATTAATTCTATTAAGTCATGATGTACAATTCTGTTATTCATAGCTGAAATGCTATAGAATTTTCTAGAGTTATTCATTTATCTAGATAATAAATGTGTTCTTTCTAGGGCTTGTAATTTACTCATTATTATTAGAACATTTGTGTGATATATGTATGTCATAAACACTAGAGGATGTGAAAGTTGTGATCTCTTTGGGGATAAGTATGCATTTATTAATAGTTGTACCTCTTTTAGAATTGTTAAGATCTCAACATTGGCATTTCTCAAATATTGTAAAAATATTTTCTTTCTGGTTTTGGGCATGCATATGTGCAAACTGACACTAGAGATTCATATAAAGGCCAACTAGTGTGTACTACTTTCCTGCTAACAACTTTGTTCTGTTAAGGATACATTATTCATTTTTCTTCTCTTTTGGCTAGGATGATGAAGGGTAGAAAGTAAACCTTTTGCAAATCTGGTGTTGGCCATTTTCTTTTTTAGTGGGGAGAAAATGAAAGGTAGTAGTTCATTGGTCATGGATAATTGCTTTTATCAAATTATGAAAGTTATTTTCTTGCTGGACAATATAATATTACAAAATGAAGGAAGAGTAATTATTACAATTATCTTTTAGTGTTGGGAACAGAAAAGTGAAATCCATATAACTATGAACATTTTTTTTTGATAAGAGTACTATGAATTTTATTTTCCTATTGACTCCTTTTCTTTTTTCTCTCTTTCTTTTCTTTTTCTTTTTTTAGCTTCCCAGAATCAAGAACGGTTATGTGCATTTAAAGATCCATATCAGCAAGATCCAGGGATTGGTGAGAGTCGTATATCCCATGAAAATGGCACAGTTTTATGTTCAAAGGGTAGCACCTGTTATGGACTTTGGGAAAAATCCAAAGGGGACATAAATCTCGTGAAACAAGGCAAGTCATACTTTTCTGACGTAACATGATTTTTTTGTCTTATAGTTGCCTACAGGTTGTTTAATTTGGCTGCAGGAAAGAAAAATGCAGAGCTAAATTTAAATCCTCTCTAGGAAAAAAGTGAACATAAATGTATATACATGTACATATGAACACTAAATTTGAAAAGTGTGATTCTTCTCCTAATCTATTTTATATAAATGTTGCTTTGTAGGATGTTGGTCTCACATTGGAGACCCTGAAGAGTGTCACTTTGAAGAATGTGTTGTAACAACCACTCCTCCCTCAATTCAGAATGGAACATACCGTTTCTGTTGTTGCAGAACAGACTTATGTAATGTCAACTTCACTGAGAACTTTCCACCTCCTGACACCACACCTTTGAGTAAGTTAAAACTTGAAGCCAGAATTCTTAAACTATTCTTTTGTAATTAAATTTACAGTGGTCCCTTTATATTACTATGAAAAGGGTACATGTTAATTAATTTTTATAAAGTTTAAATACTTTGGGAAAATTGTCATCTCTTAAATCAGAAATGAGAGAGGAGCCTGGAATCCTAATAGAACAAAGAAGTCAGAGAAGTGCTTGCTGGATGTGAGCAGGCTGCAATACGTTACAAACCAGAAATTGTGCACAGGCAATAGTATGAGAATATCATTAGAGAATTGTACAACTAGAAAAAAAGAGGGCAGTTACATAGTGAGAGTCCATGTGCTCCATTGGTATCCTGCCTTTTCAGTTCTGTTGCTTGTTCTTCAATTTTATTTGTTATTATTATTATTATTTGATCATCTTAATGGATTCTGTTCATGATTTCTTCCATAGATTTTTTGTAAATATTGAATATTATTTTACAGTTTCCCCAGTTTTCACCTCATCTCATCTTCTGCTTTTAAAAATTGATGTAGAATCCTTCTTTAGTGTCAATAATATATTATCAATTTAATTTTTTCCATTAATACATTATTTCATTCATTTATGCTTAAGTATGCTTTTTTTTACTTTTCAAATATTTTTAATTAATTAATTTATTTTGATTTATCAACAATAATTTCCATAAGCTTTTGAGTTTTAAATTTTTCTCCCCTTCTCTCCCCACTTCCTTCCCCAAGATGGCATGCAATCTGATATAGGCTATACATATACATTCCTATTAAACATATTTTCACACTAGTCATATTGTAAGGAAGAATTAGAACCAATAGAAGGAACCACAAGAAAGAGGAAACAAAACAAAACAGAAGAAAAAGAAAGAGTAAATAGTATGCTTCGATCTGCGTTCAAATTCCATGGTTCTTTCTTTGGATGTGGATAGCATTTTCCATCATGAGACTTTTGGGGATATCTTAGCTCCGTGCATTGCTGAGAAGAGTTAAGACTATCAAAGTTAGACATCGCACAACAGTGTACAATGTTCTCCTGGTTCTGCTCACTTTACTCAGCATCAGTCCATACAATTTTTTCCAGCTCTTTCTGAAGTCTGCCTGCTTATCATTTCTTATAGCACAGTAGTCTTCCATTATATTCGTATATGATAACTTGTTCAGCCATTCCCCAGTCGATGGCCATTCCCTCAATTTCCAATTCTTTGCCACCACAAAAAGAGCTGCTCTAAATATTTTTGTACATATGGGTCCTTTTTCCATTTTTATGATCTCTTTGGGATACAGCCCTAGAAATGCTATTGCTGGGTCAAACGGTATAAGCATATATTTCTGCAAGGATTTTAGTGCCTAGATCTTTTATATTGCTGAAGTTTTTCATTGAATCACAGGTTTAAAAATTTTTTTACAATTCATTTTTCTGTTCATAGATGAAAGTATTAAAGTGCTCTAGAAGTTGCAGGATATAAAATAAACCCACATAAATCATCAGCATTTCTATATATATTACTAACAAAGCCTAACAGCAAGAGATAGAGAAATTCCATTTAAAGTTACTGTAGACATTATAAAATATTTGGGAGTCTACCTCACAGAAAAAACCCAGAAACTATATGAACACAATTACAAGAAACTTTTCACCCAAATAAAGTCACATCTAAATAATTGTTTCAGTTGCTCATGGATAGGCCGAGTTAATATAATAAAAATGACAATTCTACATAAGTTAATTTGCTTATTCAGTGCCATACTGATCAAACTACAAAAAATGTTTTATAGAGCTAGAAAAAATAATAACAAAATTCATCTGAAAGAACAAAAGGTCCAGAATATCAAGGTAATTAATGAAAAGAAATGCAAGAGAAGATAGCCTAGTCATACCAGATCTTAAATTGTATTATAAAGCAGCAATCATTGAAAGTACTTGGTACTGGCTAAGAAATAGAGTGGTGGGTCAGTAGAATAGGTTAGGTACACAAGACACAGTAGTCAGTGACTATAGTAATCTACTGTTTCATAAACCCGAAGACTCCTGCTTCTGGAATAAGAATTCACTATTTAACAAAAACTGCTGGGAAAACTGGAAAATAGTTTGGCAGAAAATAGGCATAGACAAACATCTTACACCGTATACCAAAATAAGGTCAAAATGAGTACACGATTTAGATAGAATGGCTGATACAATAAGCAAACTGGGAGAGCAAGGAATAGTTTACCTGTCAGATTTATGGAGAACAGAAGAATTTATGACCAAACAAGAGATAGAGAACATTATGAAATGCAAAATGGATAATTTTGTTTACATTAAATTGAAAAGCCAATGAAACCAACATTAGGAGAGAAGCAGAAAACTGGGAAAATTTTTACAACCAATGTCTCTGATAGAGGCCTCATTTCTAAAATATGTAGAGAACTGAGTTAAATTTATGAAAATAGAAGTCATTCTGAAATTGATAAATGGACAAAGGATATGAACAGGCAGTTTTCAGATGAAGTAATTAAAGCTATCTATAGTCATATGAAAACATGCTGTAAATCAATATTGATTAGAGAAATGCAAATCAGAACAACTCTTAGGTACCACATCACACCTATCAGATTGGCTAACATGACAAAACAGGAAAATGATAAATGCTGGAGAAGATGTGGGAAAATTGGAACTCTAATGCATTGTTGGTGGAGTTGTGAACTGATCCAGCCATTCTGGAGAGCAATTTTGAACTATGCCCAAAAGGCTATAAAACTGTGCATAGCCTTTGACCCAGCATTACCACTTCTAAGTCTGTATCCCAAAGAGATCATACAAATGGGAAAAGGACTCACATGTACAAAATATTTATAGCAGCTCTTTTTGTGGTGACAAAGAGTTGGAAATTGAAGGGATGCCCATCGATTGGGGAATGGTTGAATAAGTTGTAGTATATGAATATAATGGAATATTATTGTGCTATAAGAAGTGATGAGCAGGCAGACTTCAGAAAAACCTGAAAGACTTATATGAACTGATGCTGAAGGAAGTGAGTAGAACCAGGAGAACATTGTACACAGTCATAGTCACATTATGAGATGACTAACTTTGATAGACATATCTCTTCTTAGCAATTCAAGGATCTAAGACAATTCCAAAAGACTCATGATGGAACATGCTGTCCACATCCAGAAAAAGAACTATAGAGTCTGAATGCAGATAGAAGCATGCTGTTTGCTCTCTGTCTCTCTTTTTTTTTTGTTTCTTCTTTCTCGTGGTTCCTCTCATTGGTTCTAATTCTTCTTTACAACATGACTAATGTGAAGATGTGTTTAATGTGAATGTATATATTGGGCCTATATCAATTTACACATCTTGAGGTGGGGGAAGGGGAGAGATGGGGAGAAAATTTGGAACTCAAAATCTTATAGAAGTGAATGTTGAAAACTAAAAATAAATAAACAAATTTGTTTTTTTAAATAAGTGCTCTAAGTGTGAGGCAGGAGTGCTGACTCAGGTTGGATGCTTTGATATGGCTTTGAGGTTATGGAGAGGTCCTTATACCTGTTATCTGGTTGATAAAGGGAAGAGAGAAGGCAGGAACCTTTTAAGTTTTTGTGGGGAGTAGAGTGAGCAGTGGTGGAGAATTTATCCAGAAATGGCTGTAATGTAAAATCAAAAGGCATCACAACATTTAAAAAAATGAAATGAAACAAGTGAAAAATTTTGCAGCATTAAATTTTTGGGGGAGTAGGGTACAACATAAAGCTTTTCCACAATTGTTTTTTCTAACTGAACTATGTACTTTTAGTTTAATTGTAAAATAGCAAGGAGTAGAATTCTCTACAATTTACAAGAGCTATGCCATCTCCTTAGGCCCATCTATATGAGCAATTATAAATTTTTATTTATTTCATTTTAAATCAGTCATTCATTGTTATTGTGTATAAAAACTAGTTAAGTAGTAAGTGTTACATAAAATAATGAAGCAGCAATAACAGTATTTTCAAGGCTTTCTTCAGGGCCTGTTTTCCATAGGTGCGATTTTTACTCACCGTATTAAAAATATATTAGAAAAATATATATAGTAGTTATTTAGACATACTTTAAACTGTTATATGTTAATATGATGAGTAATGAGGAAGACTATAATACATCAAGTAGAATTTTTTTCTTGTATGTTTTGAATTAATGTTTCAACTTAAAGTTTTATTTCATTTATTACTTATCATTCTAAATGTCCTTCTCACCCCTGAAAAAAGAAGCCTCTAAATCAGTTAATAGTAATTAGTTTGATTTATTTTAGGATTAAGTTTTCTTTCCCTAAGAAGAGCTGAGCTAGCATAAATATTCCTTTAAGCCTAAGTTACTTATAGATTTTGTGAATACATATTTTAACAAGATTTAATAGTAGTTAAGTTAGAATAGGAAAATATATCTTTATAGAAACAAAATAATAAAGTGATACAGTAATTTAAGATATAATTTATGATAAACTGTAAATTATAAGATATAATAATAAATTAAAAATAATAAATAAAATAATAGGGTTAAGCTTAAATATCACAGGACTCTTTACTAAAGGTCGGATTGCTCTTTTTTAGACAACTGGAAGACTGAGAGTAAGGGAGAGGTATCTCAGCTCACCAGAAGTTTTTCTTTTAGTAAGTTAGTTCTTCTTTTACAGTGAGCATTATAGACCCATAACAAAAATCCTTAAAGGACCACTGAAAGGAGCCTTCTCAAAAAAATTCACAGAATGGTAGACATGAGTTCTAAACCAATGAAATGTTGAATCTAGGAGTTATCCCACTCTAGAAACTCCCTGTTATGACCCCTACACGCCCAGTTGCCAAATATTGCAAATCTACCTATATCTCTGTTCTTTTAAAACTTCCCTATCCCTGTAAAACTTACGAATTAGCCTCATGGTTATTTGTTTTCTGTTATAAAATAAGCTCTGTAAACCTGTCAAGGAGTCACCAATCACTGAGGGATTAGTTGACCTGATTTAATGGTAACTTGCTGGCCTT